GGATAGGCATGTAGTAGTGTGATCAATGCAATTATTTATCAGTTTGGTTTGATCAGCAACTGAGTCCCTTAAGAGGCATTTGAACTCATAAATAATGTTCATTCTTTGTAGTCTTGATTTTGTAGGGGTATTGTTATTTTTTATAACAAGTTTTAAATTTTTTTTTGTAATAATTTATTTTTCTTGTTAAGGTCAACTGGGGTAGTGTATTTCTTTATGATATTTCTAAATGAAGATTCATCTTGCTTACAGTTGACATGTATTTGGCTTTTGTAAATGTTAATATTATTGTTTTTGTCTGTGTGTTCAATATCATTATTAGTTACTTTGGAAAAAAAATAGTCTAATCTGGTGGTCAATGAGGTAGTTAGAAAAGCCATTGTTAACTCATGTCTGTTTTACATTGTTGAGTTCTTTAAGGAAAAGTAGACAAGAGGATGAATTCTTTGTGCTCTTTTAGTAAAATGTTTTATAACGGCTATTTTATATCTAAGTGGGCATTCACTCTTAAAATTAAGGTGGCAGGAGCTTCTGCTAATGGATTTGTTATATAATGAGGTGGTGAAAATGTTGTTACTGTATTCTTCAAGAATGTCTAAAAATGGAAGTTTATTCTTTTGACTCAGTCCGTAGATAAAATTAAGGACAGATTTTTTTTTTTTTCTGTTACGTTTATGAGGTTATCTATTTCTTGTTTGTTTTGCGCTAAAATAAAAATATCGGCATAGCAGACATATATTTTTGGTTCATAGACCTGTTTAAATATCATGTTTTCTACGTGAGACACAGTAATTAGAGAAGCATGGGCCAAGCTGATTTCCCATACTAACACCATTAGTTTGGGCATAGATATTGCCATTATGGTCATAGAAGGGGATTTTGGTTATACATACATTTAATAATTTTTGATGATATTTGGTGTGATGGATGGAAGTGGGGTGGAATTATTTGTGTACATAGAATTGAAGAGTTTGATTAACGGGAACGTTGTGAATAAATTTTCAACATCAACTGATGCTGAAATACTCTTTTTAGAATTTGAATGAATTTGTGGGTTGATGTGATGCTGTAATTGTATAAACATAAGAAAAATTAAATAAAAAGCTTGCTCACAGTACCTTGTCAGTCATCTTTAACAAAACACACACACACAAGTATAGTGAAAGCCTTTATGATCAATTTTTTTATGCACAAAACAGGGGTTCACACTATACACAGGTCATTTTTTTTTTGAAGAGATTAAAAATCAGGCATTTTTTGCGACCAGTCGTACTATAGGCAGGAGAATTTTTTTCTGGTAGGGTTAAAATTAATGCACCTGATAGGCCCACATTCTCATCGTACCTTTAATCTGGTAAGCTACTTTAGCCTGCCTCTTATAGCCTAGATTCTTTCTTATATATATATATACATACACACACACACAAAAAGGACAACACATGTTACTCAAGTTTCATACTCTCACAATCTTCAAACTACTAGAAAGTATTCTAGTTGTCTGAAGATCACAAAAGTGTGAAACTCTAGTAATGATGCGGTCTGACCTTTGTTAGGTGTTAGTGTTGTGAAGTGTTTTTTGCTCTGTCTCAATAATCTGGTTGTTGAGCACTTTGCTGAGTAGTTAGGTGTTTGCCTTTCAGTCTTTTTTTTCTTTTCTTGTTCAGGATTTTTTCTTGTCTAAGGTCTTCTACTAAGAAGTCTGTTGGTCATGCCAACATAGTTGGTTTTTTTTTAGTGTGTGTGTGTGTGTATATATATATATATATATATATATATATATATATATATATATATATATATATATATATATATATATAAAATTTAAAAGAATGAAGGCTGACCAGAACACACTACTGTGGTTTCGACCTCTACAGTCTCCTCAAGTGGTTTGTTCAGCAAATCAACTACATGGAGCTCAACAACTTAAGCACTTTCAAAACCGGAAGTAGTGGGGGGGGGGAGAATTTCTAACTTTAACCAGGTTCAAATAACCCCAAGCTCTGTGTGTATGTACAATTCCAGATAGAGTATATCTATAAAAGGAAAATATGAATAAAGACAGTAGGAAAACTTATTCTAGTTCATGCATTTCGTCCTCTGAGGGGTTTTATCAAGGCAAATGCAAGGATTTTATTTTGTAACCAGTATTTATATACAAAAATGTTTAAATTTAAGAATGCTCATAAACATTCATGAGGTTAGTTGAAAAGTCAAGGCAAGCTATGGAGGACACCATGTGACACAATTCAATGTCTAATGAATGAAAGTAAGTAAATGAAGGTCTTGAAATTTTTTCTTTTTTTTTTTTAATATAAATTACTATTTAAATCATTTTAATTTGGGATTAATTTATGTGTTTATATATTTTAAATAACAGGAGGTTATGAATTTAAACGTTTTCATTTTTTAAAAATATTTTTATGGTCAGGAGCGTTGGCTCAGGAAAGGAGTAATTCTTTCAGGAACGGAGATATTTGAAAAAATCCCACACTCAGATTTATATTTAGGTAAGATGGTTTTCCTCACCTTATCCACACTATAATTTATCCATAGTCAACTTTGGAAACAAACAATTTCTAAGAGTTACTTAATAATATTCCAAAAACACAAAAGCAGTGATGTTTGCCAATATCCAAAGAAGCTATAAAGTTCTTTAGTCAGGGGTGTCCAAACTTTTTTCACAGAGGTCCAGATTTGATGAAGTGAATATGCATGAAGGCCAACCATTCTACTTGGCATTCTTTGAACAATTAAAATTAAATGCAAATGAACTATCTTATGAAAATTTAATTACAAATGGCATATTTTCATTTCTTTATATGGATGACAAATTTAAACAGATCTTAACAAAATCATTCAGCCTGTCATGTCTGAAGCCCATATATGATGAAGTAAAACATGTCTGAGAAAAGAGAACTTTCAAAAAGCTATATCTTAGGTTAAAGATTACATATTATTGGTAATTAATATTGTCTGTCAACTTTTAAGTTAAAAACATATGAATAGGAACATAACACCAACATTCATCTTGTTAAGGAGTAGAAAACAAAGTGACACAAATCCAAGTGTCCCAATGTATTTATAACTGATTTTGACAAACATGAAACAAATTTAATTTACTAAGATTTTAGAATTTATTCATTTCTGATGACCAAAACAAATAACTTGCCTGCGCTAATGTGAAGGGTGATAATGAGATCAGGACTGCAGTATGTAAGCCAGATCTGGTTCAAAGGCAATGATTTTAGAAATTAGAGTCACACTTCCAGAGGGTGGCCAAACAGTGCTACTGCCATCTTTTGGTAAAACATGAAATTACATTTCTTAGTATTTTTTAGTGTGTACTTTATATACTATGATTGGCAATATTAGCAGGCCATAAGTAATACATTCTATGACATGGGATGGGAGCCATATGAAACATGACCCCAGGCCGACTTTGGACATGCCTGCTTTAAGTGAAAATATAACTTGACTTAATAAGCAAAGAAAGCCAATATGATCTATAGCAAAAACAAATCTTTCTATTACATAACTCTTCTTACAGGGCCATTTTATCCATGTCATTAAAAAAGACAAGAGGAATTTTTTTTCCAATTATTATTATTATTATTATTTTACCCCGGTCTTTTATGGTGTCATCTCAAGAATAAGAGAAATGATTCTTACTGCAAGATAATTACAGTCTTTACAGAAAAAAAATTAGAACAATTATAACGATCGCTTACAGCTATTAGCTATTGTGAATCTTTTATTGTCCCTAATTTAGAAATTAAAATTTATCCAAGGTATATAAACAAGATATATATATACAAGTTAAGGCTTACCATGCTACATACACATGGGTGAATATTCCGTTACTAAGGAGGAAGTTTCATTCAGACAGCTTCTTTCCAAGAACTACTACTTTGTGGAACAGACTCACGAGAGGATGCTTACCCAATTACTACAATCATCAGTTCTTCAAGTTTCAGATTGACCATTATCTACTTTCAACAACCTCATTCAGTAACCCTCTATCTAGAGTGGCTCTTCAGCCTTCTTGTATTGGGTGAATAAAAGTATTAAAAAAAAAAAAAAAAAGTTCTGTAGTATAATTTTGACCAAGTCTGTTTCATTCCCTTTTTTCCCTGCAAAAGGCATGAAACTATTTTCTTTCAGATATAGATAAAATAGCAAGATAGACTCAACTCTTTAAAAAAAAAAAAAAAAAAGAATGCCTTTGTCTCCAGATATTCCTTTTCTTTATTATCTGTGAATTACCATGATAACTTAAAATGGTAGAAAAAGTTTTCTCATTCTCAACAAGTTGGCCTAGACTGGCTGCCATCCAAGGCTAGAGACTCCAATGTACTCTGCTTTACAATCATACCTTGGTGACTACTGAAAATTAGTAACCAATAAATATGGCAGTAATAGGTTACAAGACACCTAGTAAAATGTGCTTATTCAGTTTATGGCTGCCAGAGCAAATAGCAAAAAAGCATGGAGAGAAACTTGACATGAGATGCTATATCACAGATCCATAAAAACAATGAAGTGAGAAATTTCTATTGTCAACACAGAGAGAGAGAGATCTCATAACTAATTGACTGAATCTTTCACACTGAGCAGGAATCTCAGCTGGTACCAATATCCATGTTAACCAGTCAAGCAAGATGCGATCGGTAACAGGATGAAAGGAAAAAAGAAAAGCCCTACCTTGAGAGGAAATGGCCTATATCTTTAAAAATAGACAATCCTGTTTAAGAATAAAGCATGCAGATGGTTACCTCGTCAGGTGTCTTGGAAAGGTAAAGTTTGCAGTCGTCCAGGTAATCTTTTTCTTTTTATTGTCAACCCGTACAGTAACAGTTTTGACCATCACATAAGGGTAGAATTAATTAACAGGTGAAGAAGATTCTTCTTTGTAGTTAAGTTTATGCATATGTAATCAGAAGGGAAAAAAAGTGAGAAACAGACTGAGTAAGTCATGAGAGAAAGGAGGACAGAGGAAAGAATCAAGGCAGAGAGAGAGTAGAGAGGGAGAGGTCTGAATAGAGGAGAGAGAGAGAGTAGAGAGGGAGAGGTCTGAATAGAGGAGAGAGAGAGAGAGAGGTAGAATAGAGGGAGAGGTCTGAATAGAGGAGAATAGAGAGAGAGAGAGAGGGGGGAGGTCTGAATAGAGGAGAGAGAGAGAGAGAGAGAGGGGAGAGGTCTGAAGAGAGAGAGAGAGAGAGAGAGACAGAGAGGAGAGGGGTCTGAATAGACAAGAAAGAGAGAGGGGTCTGAATAGACAAGAAAGAGAGAGGGGTCTGAATAGACAAGAAAGAGAGAGGGGTCTGAATAGACAAGAAAGAGAGAGGGGTCTGAATAGACAAGAAAGAGAGAGGGGTCTGAATAGACAAGAAAGAGAGAGGGGTCTGAATAGACAAGAAAGAGAGAGGGGTCTGAATAGACAAGAAAGAGAGAGGGGTCTGAATAGACAAGAAAGAGAGAGGGGTCTGAATAGACAAGAAAGAGAGTGAGGGAGGATGTCTGAGTAGAGAGAGGGAGGATGTCTGAATAGAGAGAGGGAGGATGTCTGAATAGAGAGAGGGAGGATGTCTGAATAGAGAGAGGGAGGATGTCTGAATAGAGAGAGAGAAAGACAGAGATAGGGTCAGATTCAAGACAGAGAGGGGGCAAGGGTTGAGACACAGGAAGTCAGAGGAAGGAGTGGGAAGAGAGAGAGTGGGAAGAGAGAGAGTGATAAGCTCAGAGAAAAGAGTTGAGAGAAAAAGAGAGAGTCAGAAGGAGGAAAGAAAGAAAAAGGATGGACAAACTAAAATGAATAATAATAACAACTACTAAAATACTAAAAAAGCAAAAATTGACTCATGATAAAAGATCATATAAGAAAAGGAAATTATGCTCCATAGATCCCATTAAAAGTAAAATAAGATAAAAAGGTCAATATGACCTCTTACAATAAATTTTTTCTTTACAAAAAGGTTGTCATTCATAAAGATTTTTTAAAAATCAATTCTGCTATTTTGGCGAAATCCTTGCTACTCCAACCTAATTTATCTAATAGAGAAGATCTTATACCATGAATACAATTCAACATTAGAAAAGGAAGCATAAGACATGTGGGAAGGGTGTAAATATACTAAAATCCCTTCCCTCAAGCAAGACGAGCAGGACTTAGCTGGTTTAGGTTAGCCACGTTCCTCCTTCCTTTAATTTTCTATTGCCATCAAAATCCCCCACGTGCCAGGGTATTGTTTGTTCCTCATTAAAATACAGTAGCCTTTCTCTCTATTCTCAATTTGGGACTGATAGGGGATGAGGGTTTCTTCCCCCCCCCCCTTTTTTTCTTTGCCTTAATCAACTGACAAAGGTGAAAGCAAGCCCAAGTGGACCATGAAGATTGATTGATTGATTTGTTTAACAGCATATCAACTCCTTCATGGGTCATTTAATGCCGAAATTTAATTTTCTTGCGAGTTTTGAAATAATAATAATATATGTTATTCTGCTTTCACAATTGAATATATGGTAGATGATACTCACCTTTTATGCATATACATGTTTGTGTGGATATGATTACTAGAGGTGGTGGTGTGTGTGTGTTATGTTATAGTTTTTGTATTTTGGAAGCATTTTGATTTAAGAAATTCTAGGATATTATATGGACTAATATCATGAAAGAATTCTTTCATGTTGGTTGTCTAAGAGGTGAATGTAAAAGTGTTAAAATTGCTTACATAATTCATCTTTGATAGATGCAAACATTCAAAACATTCTGAATAGACAAGAGAGAGAGAGAGAGAGGTCTGAATAGACAAGAGAGAGAGAGGTCTGAATAGACGAGAGAGAGAGAGGTCTGAATAGACGAGAGAGAGAGAGGTCTGAATAGACAAGAGAGAGAGAGAGTTCTGAATAGACAAGAGAGAGAGAGAGAGAGTTCTGAATAGACAAGAGAGAGAGAGAGAGGTCTAAATAGACAAGAGAGAGAGAGAGGTCTGAATAGACAAGAGAGAGAGAGAGAGGTCTGAATAGACGAGAGAGGGTGAGGTCTGAATAGACAAGAGAGAGAGAGAGAGATGTGAATAGATGAAACAGACCTGATGTAAAATACACAATGAATACACAATATGAAAAAAAAAAAAAAATTAGCCTGCTGAAATTGTAAAATCTTGTGAACAATGATTAGGCTGGCTAAGACAGATTTTAGAATGTACATATAATCAGGGGTGCCTGATTGAACTACAAGTAGCCAAATTCAAAATTTCTAAGTGTTGAATTTTCAAAAGTAGCAATCTTGAATCTTTCATAGTTTACAATCACCATTTAAATATCTGGTGGTTGGCATTGAGTATAAAAATACAAATCTCCTCAAATCTTAACAGAGTTTAATCATTTGAAGTTTCAGTGCCACGATGACAGAGCCCTATTCACATTTGGAACTTGAGGCTTGTGTCACCGTCCGATGGATTGGCACAGTCCTCTAAGGGTTAAAAAGCATTTACATGGCCTTGTAGGTGATGGATTATTTTCCACCCTACAACCCCTCTCCCACAGATGCAATGTTGCAAGCCATTCACTATTACTATTTCCATTGAAAACACTGACAACCTTAGTTCCACTAGTTCAGACCTTTACATCTAAAACCTGTCATGTCATATACACAAACGCAAACAATCCTCATTTCCTTCATATTCTGCTGGCAAGAAGGAAGTTCCATTCAGACAGATTCTTCCTAATTTATAGAACAGACTCCCAAGAGGATGCTTCCTTGACCACTACAAACTTCTTGAAATCTAGGGTTAGAGTCTGTCCTACATATCCCCATAATCTACAATTCAAACATCCATATAAAAGCAATTGAAACCGCATTCAGTAATCCTTTACTTTGAGTGGCTCTTGAGCCTTATATTGGGTGAACATTTGGTTGGCATGTCATATCATATCATATTGGGCATTATATAAATGTACCCCTGTGTTACTTTGTTGATGTGCTTACTCAACCAAATGTTAATGATACTGGAAAATGGTTGGTTCCTTGTACTGTCCTAGAAAGAGCATGGCAGGAGCAGTTGGTCCTATCTTTATAAGAGTCAGATCAGACCAGAAATGTTGCCATATCTGGGTTGGAGTTGCCTAATTCTTTCAAACCAGCATATGTGGCTTCATAGGCAATGAATTATTTTCCATCGTACAATACCTTTTCCCACAGACACGATGTTGATAGCCTATCACTACTATATCATTATTTTCATGGAAAATGTTCTGATAAGCTAAATTCCTTAGTTCCACCAGTTCAGACCTTTACATCTAATACCTGTCATGTCATGTGCACAGAGACAAACCATCCTTATTCCCTTCATATTTCACTGGTAAGAAGGAAGTTCAATTCAGGAGCCACTACTTTATGGAACAGACTCTCAAGAGGATGCTTCTTCAAATGTTACAACCTTAACCTCTTTAGGTAGGGTTAACTGTTACCGGTTACACCATAATTTGCACTGACTTCCACATCCTGCATTCATTCAGCTTTAGTAGCCATCTACCTTGATTACCAGCATCTTCACTGGGACAATCTCACTTTCCTCAGTTGCTTTGTCTTACCTTCAGTGATTTTGTGACAGCAACATTTATATTCCATAGCTTCTTCAGGTTACAATATTTTTCACACACACACACACCCCTCCAAAACCTCTGGTCACTTTGTGGGTTGCTAGAACAACCATGTCTACATTCAGGCAGATTATGTTTTCCTTGGTTATAAAAACCTACACTCTGGTCTTCATGCTTGAATGTGTTTGTATAAGTGGATTTTTCCCTCATATAAAACTTTAATATTGAGGAAACATATTTTTGTCAGTGTTAGTCTTTTTACATCCTACAAGATGATCATAACTGAATGGATTTTCGTATAAGGAAACTTTGACGTTTCAAAATTGAAGCAATCATTAACTAAAATTTTATTAAATCATATTTCTATAATGGCTACTTTATTCTTGAAAGGTATTTTTTTATGTCAATGTTTAAGATCTTTTTCTTTTCAACTTTTATAATATGTATATATGTTTTCTTTTCAACTTTTATAATATGTATAGAACAATGAACGTAGTGTGTTTATATATATATATATATATATATATATATATATATATGTATGTATGTATGTATGTATGTACATTTCATTGAATACGACAGACAATCTTAGCATAATGAAAGATAATTTTGGAAGACAAAAATTGATTTTATAAACAGTCTAAAACTTTATTGAAGTGGCTTTCATTTTTTACAATTAATATGAATCTGTTATTTTGCAATTAAAATCAAAATGAACACTTCCAAGATAAAAAAAAAATTGCTGCCACATGTTTTAAAATTTTTATCAAGTAGTCCATGACCACTGCTATACTTCATGTTTTTGGTGTGTGTGCACATATTAAATTTAATCTTGAATATATATTTAATTACTGAATCAGAAATAAAATTCAGTACTTCTTGATGCCAACTGAGTTTCTAAATTTCTCCCTCATCAGAAATTTTGATAAGAATTTTATTATATATATATATATATATATATATATATAGCATAAAATAGTATTGAGACCTACTGATATATGCAAAATTAGATAATTCAACACAAGTCAAGGTGAACAGGATTTCCACTAATAAAATGCTCTGGTGAACAGGTGATATCTTGCTCCTGAGGAACAAGGAATCCCAAAACTCAGAGTTGATCTCCCAAAAGTATTGTAATCTTTAATTAATTTTTATACAAAATATCTATCTTCATCACGACTTGAACAGTTGCAAACATCAAATGCAATGACATTTTCGTTTTTGAAAGGGGAAAAAAAAAGAAAGACAAAAAAAAAGAAAGACAAAAAAAAAGAAAGACAAAAAAAAAGAAAGACAAAAAAAAAGAAAGACAAAAAAAAAGAAAGACAAAAAAAAAGAAAGACAAAAAAAAAGAAAGACAAAAAAAAAGAAAGACAAAAAAAAAGAAAGACAAAAAAAAGAACATAAAAGAGAATGAGGAAATATTTATTCCATATAATTTACATTTCATTTTCTCCTACAGCCTTCAGGAAATACATGTTACAATATCTTCTCTTACCATTTTAATACTAATATGAGAAATTCAAAGTCCTCTGAAGGTTAGATGTTAATACAGTACAACAAAAATGTCTTTCTGAACCCACTTGACAAAAAGTATTACAAATCAAAATTATTAAGTCACTAATTGAAATACTATTTATAGACAGTAACTATAAAAAATAATATGTAATTATTTAATTCCTGGATCTATTTTGATGAGTAATCTTCATACTTTGAAGAGAATTTTTTGCTTATTCTAATTTTTCTAAACCTTTCCTTGATCAGAAAATACAATCAGCAGAATTAGTGATCACAGTAACCAAGATTTCAAACAATACAAATATTTTAAAATAATCTACACTTGCTATTCACATACAAAAATTTAAGTTTCCACCAACTTGAATATTTTTCACTTCATTTTATACTATTATGGAGAATGCACAATATGCAGTGAAAAATCCTCTCCCACTGCTAAAAGCAAACTCAAAAGACTTTCAAATTATTTGCTTCCAGTGAAAATACTTATGCATAGGAGTGGAGAAAAAATGAAGACAGGCAGGGGAAGAGAAAGAAAGAAAAAAAAAAAGAGGCGAAAGAAAGAAAAAAAAAAAGAGGCGAAAGAAAGAAAAAAAAAAAGAGGCGAAAGAAAGAAAAAAAAGAGGCGAAAGAAAAAAAAAAAAAAGGCGAAGAAAGAAAAAAAAAAAGGCGAAAGAAAGAAAAAAAAAAGGCGAAAGAAAGAAAAAAAAAAGAGGCGAAAGAAAGAAAAAAAAAAATAGGCGAAAGAAAGAAAAAAAAAAAGAGGCGAAAGAAAGAAAAAAAAAGAGGCGAAAGAAAGAAAAAAAAAAAGAGGCGAAAGAAAGAAAAAAAAAAAGAGGCGAAAGAAAGAAAAAAAAAAAGAGGCGAAAGAAAGAAAAAGGCGAAAGAAAGAAAGAGGCGAAAGAAAGAAAGAGGCGAAAGAAAGAAAGAGGCGAAAGAAAGAAAAAAAAGAGGCGAAAAAAAAAAAAAAAAAAAAGAAAAAAAAAGAAAGAAAAAAAAAAGAGGCGAAAGAAAAAAAAAAAAAGGCGAAAGAAAGAAAAAAAAAAAAGAAAAAAAAGAAAAAAAAAAAAGAGGCGAAAGAAAGAAAAAAAAGGAGAAAGAAAGGAAAAAAAAAAAGAAAGAAAGAAAAAAAAAGAGGCGAAAGAAAGAAAAACAAAGGAGACAGAGTGGGGAAGAAAGAAAAACAAAGGAGACAGAGTGGGGAAGAAAGAAAAACAAAGGAGACAGAGTGGGGAAGAAAGAAAAGACGACCGAGTGGGGAAGAAAGAAAAGACGACCGAGTGGGGAAGAAAGAAAAGACGACCGAGTGGGGAAGAAAGAAAAGACGACCGAGTGGGGAAGAAAGAAAAGACGACCGAGTGGGGAAGAAAGAAAAGACGACAGAGTGGGGAAGAAAGAAAAGACGACAGAGTGGGGAAGAAAGAAAAGACGACAGAGTGGGGAAGAAAGAAAAGACGACAGAGTTGTGGTGGAAGAAGGAAAAAGATGACAGAATCGGGGGAGAAGAAAAAAACGGAGGCAGGGGGAGAAGAAAAAAAACGACGGAGTCAGGGGGAGAAGAAAAAAAAACGGAGTCAGGGGGGGAGAAAAAAGGACGGAGTCAGGGGAGAAGAAAAAAAGACGGAGCTAGGGGGAGAAGAAAAAAAGGACGGAGTCAGGGGGAGAAGAAAAAAGGACGGAGTCAGGGGGAGAAAGAAAAACGATGGGGGAGAAAAAAACGAAAAACGATGGGGGGAGAAGGAAAAAAACGATGGAGTCTGAGAAAAAACGACGGAGTCCGGGGGGAAACGAGAAAGAAAAAAACGACGGAGTCAGGGGGAAAAAAAAAAAAACGACGGAGTCGGGGGGGAAAAAGGTGAAAAACGACGGAGTCGGGGGGGAAAAGGGTGAAAAACGACGGAGTCGGGGGTAAAAAGAACAAAAAAAGGACGAGTCTGGAGGAAAAGGAACAACAAAGGACGGGTCTGGAGAGAAAAGGGAGAAAAAAGCGAGGGTCGAGGGAGGAAAAGGGAGAAAAAAGCGAGGGGCGAGGGAGGAAAAGGGAGAGAAAAAGCGAGGGGCGAGGGAGGAAAAGGAGAAAAAAAGGAGGGGCGAGGGAGGAAAAGGGAGAAAAAAGCGAGGGGCGAGGGAGGAAAAGGAGAAAAAAGGAGGGGCGAGGGAGGAAAAGGGAGAAAAAAAAAGGAGGGGCGAGGGAGGAAAAGAGATAAAAAAGGGACGGAGTCGGGGGGGAAAAGGGAAAAAAAAGGACGGAGTCGGGGGAAAAGGGAGAAAAAAGGACGGAGTCGGGGGGAAAAGGAGAAAAAAAGACGGAGTCGGGGGGAAAAGGGAGAAAAAAAGGACGGAATCAGGGGAAAAGGAGAAAAAAAAAAACGACGGAATCGGGGGGAAAAGGAGAAAAAAACGACGGAATCGGGGAAAAAGCCGACGGAGTCGGGAGGAAAAAAGAAGAAAAAAGCAACGGAGTCGAGGGATAAAAAGAAGAAAAAAACGACGGAGTCGGGGGGGAGAAGAAAAAACGACGGAACCCGGGGGAAAAGAAGAAGAAAAAACAAACGACGGAGTAAGTCGGGGAAGAAGAGGAGAAAAGAGAAGCTAAGGAAAAGAAGAGATAGAAAAGTTCAGAAACCCGAAGGTATTTGAATTTGTATAGTCAGGGTCAATCTCTTTATATACCACATGAAAGAGGATTTTTTTTTTTTTAATAAATTTAAGAAGCTCTTCTCGCAACTGTACAAATAAGAAACAAAATAAAACTACGATATGAAGCAACACCTCTCATAACAAGCCAACGAAAAGGCCACGAACTATGCACCATAAAACCCAACGTAATCAAGTTAAAAAGAAATAAATCAACATTTTTTTTCTTTTTAAAACTTTTTATCTATATTCCTTTTTTTTTTTTTCTTTTTGTCCTCTTTCTAAACACACCGAGATAACATGAAAAGGAATTTGTTAATGTCATCGCTGATTATGATTTTCATGACCCTCAAATACCCATTAACACCTGTGATGGGAAATAACGCTTTTTTTCTTTTCTTTTCTTTTCTTTTTTAGCGTAATAAAACTTGTACCTATGGAAGGGGATTATTAAATAAAAAAAAAGTGATTTTTGCTTGAGAAAGGTAATAACGATTGATTAAAATTGCAAAAGTAAGTTAATGAAAGACTGACTAAAATAAAACGCCATGCTTCTCGATTCAGGTTGGCCACAAAACGTTTGGGCATCATTATTTTATTAAACAAATTAATATACGAAAGTGAAAACGATGAGACAAAGTGGAAAATTTTATTAAAGACGGAGAAGCGTATGCTCTTTGGCTTTCTCAAAAATTAAAGACAGACAAAACTGTGTGTGGGAAAAATGCCTTGGGATCTCAGAGGTAAGTGGGTATCATAAATCAAATTAATTACTCTACCTTATCATTTTTTGACTTGGGACTTGAAGAGTGTGTTGTTTTACCTGTACCTGTATTATACTCTCCTCCAGCGAAATGCGTCTTTAATAAAAATTTTACACTTAGTCTTCACTTTTATAAAAAGGGTTTCTTTAAAAAAAAAAAAAAATTAAACGGATATATACATAATTAAAGAACGAAAAACGGATATATATATATATATATATATATATATATATCGTATTCTTCATTTAAGATAAATAATTATTATGCCAACATTTGTGCATGTACAAAATATATATATATATATATATATATCTCCCACCTTACCCAATTGGAACAAAAAGAATTTGTTTTTAATTCAGTAAACGTCAATAATATAAGCAGTTTCAAAGTTGCCATTTGTAAATAACAAATAAGTTCAATAACTACGTAAAAAGTCAGGATAGATTTTACTATCGATATTATGAACAGGACCCCACTACATCTTAATCGATCATTTTTTTGTTTTATCATGACAAATGGCATCACTTGAGGAACATTTAATATTCCCTGAAAATATGCGTATGCTCTTTTGGCTTTCTCAAAATTAAAGACAGACAAAACTGTGTGTGGGAAAATGCCTTGGGATCTCAGAATTTCATAAATTTTAATATCATTTTTTGACTTGGGACTTGAAGAGTGTGTTGTTTTACCTGTACCTGTATTATATATAGCGAAATGCGTCTTTAATAAAAAATTTTACACTTAGTCTTCACTTTTATAAAAGGGTTTCTTTAAAAAAAAAAAAAAAAAATTAAACGGATATATACATAATTAAAGAACGAAAATTTGCATAATAAATATATATATATATATATATATATATATATATATATCTATATTCTTCATTTAAGATAAATAATTATTATGCCAACATTTGTGCATGTATCGAATATATATATATATATATATATATATTCCCACCTTACCCAATTGAACAAAAAAGAATTTTTTTTTAATTCAGTAAACGTCAATAATATAAGCAGTTTCAAAGTTGCCATTTGTAAATAACAAATAAGTTCAATAACTACGTAAAAAGTCAGGGATAGATTTTACTATCGATATTATGAACAGGACCCCCACTCCACATCTTAATCGATCATTTTTTTTTGTTTTATCATGACAAATGGCATCACTTGAGGAACATTTAATATTCCCTGAAAATTTGCTTGTTGTTATTCATTTCACTCCAAGCAAGGCAATAAAGCCAATTAGATGCAAGAGGTTACTGAATGTGAGAAAAAACTATTAAAGAAGGAGAACAATAAAAGAACAGGAATTAAGAAAATAGAAGATAACGATTGACATTGCATTTAAATTTTTTAAGATCAAAGTTGACTGGGGAAGCAAAAAAAAAAAAAGCCAAAAGAGAGTTCCACAAGCGAAATGTGCGAGAGAATAAAATGTTCTCTATTTTTAAGTGAACCTGTTTATTTAAGTAGCGCCCTCGAAGTTGGTCAATGTTAAGAGGATGGTAAAAAAGAAAAGAAAAAGGAAAAAAAGGTTTTCTCCACTTCGTTCTGGGGGAAAGTGTTCTAGTCTGAAAAAAAATTCTATTTTCAATTTGACATTATAATTTGAATTAAACGTTCCTTGAATTTTCAATGTTAAATTTGTTTCTTATATATATATATATATATATATATATATATATATAATAATTAATGAGACTGGGGTTTTGTCCTGGATTCGTTCATATTGATAAACATAAGAAACAAAAAGGGGAGGGACACAGAGAGAAAGACAAGAGAGATGGGGAGAGAGAGAAAGACAAGAGAGATGGGGAGAGAGAGAGAGAGAAAGACAAGAGAGATGGGGAGAGAGAGAGAGAGAAAGACAAGAGAGATGGGGAGAGAGAGAGAGAAAGACAAGAGAGATGGGGAGAGAGAGAGAGAAAGACAAGAGAGATGGGGAGAGAGAGAGAGAGAAAGACAAGAGAGATGGGGAGAGAGAGAGAGAAAGACAAGAGAGAGATGGGAGGGAGAGAGAAAAGACAAGAGAGATGGGGAGAGAGAGAGAAAGACAAGAGAGATGGGGAGAGAGAGAGAAAAGACAAGAGATGGGGAGAGAGAGAGAGAAAGACAAGAGAGATGGGGAGGGAGAGAGAAAAGACAAGAGAGATGGGGAGGGAGAGAGAAAAAGACAAGAGAGATGGGGAGGAGAGAGAGAAAGACAAGAGAGATGGGGAGGGAGAGAGAGAAAGACAAGAGAGATGGGGAGAGAAGACAGAGAGATGGGGGGGAGAGAGAGAAAGACAAGAGAGATGGGGAGAGAGAGAAGACAAGAGAGATGGGGAGAGAGAGAAAGACAAGAGAGATGGGGAGAGAGAGAAAGACAAGAGAGATGGGGAGAGAGAGAAAGACAAGAGAGATGGGGAGAGAAAGGTGGGGAGAGAGATGGGGAGAAAGGTGAGGAGAGAGATGGGGAGAGAAAGGTGAGGAGAGAGATGGGGAGAGAAAGGTGAGGAGAGAGATGGGGAGAGAAAGGTGAGGAGAGAGATGGGGAGAGAAAGGTGAGGAGAGAGATGGGGAGAGAAAGGTGAGGAGAGAGATGGGGAGAGAAAGGTGGAGGAGAGAGATGGGGAGAGAAAGGTGAGGGGAGAGAGAGAGAGATGGGGAGAAAAAGGAGAGAGAGATGGGGAGAAAAAGGTGAGGAGAGAGATGGGGAGAGAAAGGTGGAGGAGAGAGATGGGGAGAAAAGGTGAGGAGAGAGATGGGGAGAGAAAGGTGAGGAGAGAGAGAGAAAGGTGAGAGGAGAGATGGGGAGAGAATGGATAGAAAAGGGAGAGAAAGGAAGAAAGAAAGAGGAAAGAAAAGAAGGAGAGGAAAAGAAAGAAAGAGGAAAGAAAAAGAAAGAGGAAAAGAAAGAAAGAGGAAAAGAAAGAAAGAGGAAAAGAAAGAAAGAGGAAAAGAAAGAAAGAGGAAAAGAAAGAAAGAGGAAAAGAAAGAAAGAGGAAAAGAAAGAAAGAGGAAAAGAAAGAAAGAGGAAAGAGTTATCCCAAGATGTTTCTTTACTGAAGAATCTTTTTTTATCCGTGTTGAGAAAGAAAGACAACTTTTTTTTAAATATTGTTCTGACTGAAGATAAAATATCAGAAAGTAAACTGATTGAAAACCAGTTTAATGCTTTTAAGTTCTGTTACAGTTTTTAAATATTTGTCAACTTTGGCCAATTTCGAATTTATGAACAAGGCAAAAAAAAAAAAATGGGGCAGGGAAGCAGTAAATTGGGGAGACGGAGAAAATGAAAATATTAACTACGAATGAAAAGACGAAAAACAAAGCCGAAAAGGAAGTTGTGGACCGAAATGCCAGAGTGGGTGATGCGGGGTGAAGGAGGTTCAGGAAAAAGGCCCCAGGGTGGGAGTTATAGTTGCCATAGCAATAGATCATTAACAAGGATTTGCAAAGGGATATAGAAGATGCTGCTGCTGCTGCTGCGGATGGTGATGAAGAAAAAAGGCTGGGTATATATAGTGACGAAGCCAAGCAATGGGGGTCCCGGCTCGGTGTTGGAAACAGGGAGTGGGGACTGAGTAGAAGTGAAACTGTCCTTGCCACATGTCTATAGGTTCAAACAAGCAGACAGCCATCTTAGTATTTTTTCTTTTTCTTTTTTTTTTTTTTTTTTCCTTCCTCTGTTCCTTCTCCAGTCTTCCCGGAGATGAGAAGAGAAAAAGGAAAAGTGGGGAACTAGGGACAGCTGTTGTTATTGGACAAGTCTAACAGACAGATGAGACAGACGGGCCCGAGACGAGAATGACAGACAACAGGGGGTCTGCGGTCTACAAGAAAGTGGAAAGCAACGCGCTTTGGAAACAAAGATTCAAATGTGTTTAGAGTTTTGTAAAACAGTGAAGTCTCTTTGAGACGAGCGGGGAAAGAGAAAAGGACAAGAATGAAAAGAGGATATGATGCGGGGTGCGGGGTAGTCAAGGATTAAAAAAAATCGGGAGAGGGGGAAATAAAAGGAGAAAAAAAATTAAAACGAACCAAACAAACTGTCAAAAAACGAAAAGAATGAGAAATAAAGAATCCAGAGAGAGTGGGAAAGAAAGGTGAGATACAGAAGACCAAAGAGAAGTATCAGGAGAGAGAAAAAAACCCAAAGAAGGGAAGTGGGGAGAGAGAAAGAAAGAGAGAGAAAAGCTAACCGGGAAAGAGAGAGAGAGAGAGAGAAAAGCTAACAGTGAAAGAGAGAGAGAGAAAAGCTAACCGAGAGAGTGAAAGAGAGAGAGAGAGCGAGAAAAGCTAACCGAGAGAGTGAAAGAGAGAGCGAGAGAGAGAGAGAGCGAGAAAAGCTAACCGAGAGAGTGAAAGAGAGAGCGAGAGAGAGAGAGAGAGAAAAAGCTAACGAGAGAGAGAGAAAAGAGAGAGAGAGAGAGAGAGAGAGAAAAGCTAACCGGGAGAGAGAGAGAGAAAAGAACCGAGAGAGAGAGAGAGAGAGAGAGAGAGAAAAAGCTAACTGGGAGAGAGAGAGAGAGAGAGAAAAAGCCAACTGGGAGAGAGAGAGAGAGAGAGAAAAGCTAACTGGGAGAGAGAGAGAGAGAGAGAAAAGCTAACTGGGAGAGAGAGAGAGAGAGAGAGAAAAAGCTAACCGGGAGAGAGAGAGAGAGAGAGAGAAAAGCTAACCGGGAGAGAGAGAGAGAGAGAGAGAAAAGCTAACCGGGAGAGAGAGAGAGAGAGAGAAAAGCTAACCGGGAGAGAGAGAGAGAGAGAGAGAAAAGCTAACTGGGAGAGAGAGAGAGAGAGAGAAAAGCTAACTGGGAGAGAGAGAGAGAGAGAGAGAAAAGCTAACCGGGAGAGAGAGAGAGAGAGAGAAAAGCAACTGGGAGAGAGAGAGAGAGAGAGAGAAAAGCTAACCGGGAGAGAGAGAGAGAGAGAGAGAAAAGCTAACCGGGAGAGAGAGAGAGAGAGAGAGAAAAGCTAACTGGGAGAGAGAGAGAGAGAGAGAGAAAAGCTAACCGGGAGAGAGAGAGAGAGAGAGAGAAAAAAACCGGGAGAGAGAGAGAGAGAGAGAAAAAAGCTAACCGGGAGAGAGAGAGAGAGAGAGAAAAGCTAACCGGGAGAGAGAGAGAGAGAGAGAGAGAGAAAAAGTCAACTGGGAGAGAGAGAGAGAGAGAGAGAAAGCTAACTGGGAGAGAGAGAGAGAGAGAGAAAAAGCTAACCGGGAGAGAGAGAGAGAGAGAAAGCTAACTGGGAGAGAGAGAGAGAGAGAGAAAAAGCTAACTGGGAGAGAGAGAGAGAGAGAGAAAAAGCTAACCGGGGAGAGAGAGAGAGAGAGAAAAAGCAACCGGGAGAGAGAGAGAGAGAGAGAAAAAGCTAACTGGGAGAGAGAGAGAGAGAGAGAGAAAGCTAACCGGGAGAGAGAGAGAGAGAGAGAGAAAAAAGCTAACTGGGAGAGAGAGAGAGAGAGAGAAAAAAGCTAACTGGGAGAGAGAGAGAGAGAGAGAAAAGAACTGGGAGAGAGAGAGAGAGAGAGAAAGCTAACTGGGAGAGAGAGAGAGAGAGAGAAAAGCTAACCGGGAGAGAGAGAGAGAGAGAGAAAAGCTAACTGGGAGAGAGAGAGAGAGAGAAAAGCTAACTGGGAGAGAGAGAGAGAGAGAAAGAAAGCTAACCGGGAGAGAGAGAGAGAGAGAGAAAAGCTAGAGAGAGAGAGAGAAAAGAGAGGAGAGAGAGAGAGAGAGAGAGAGAGACAAGAGAAAGAAGTGAGAGAGAGAGAAAAGCTTAGAAGGAGAGAGAGAGAAAGCTAACCGGGAGAGAGAGAGAAAAGCTAACCGGGAGAGAGAGAGAAAAGCTAACCGGGAGAGAGAGAGAAAAGCTGAGAGAGAGAGAGAAAAGCTAACCGGGAGAGAGAGATAGACTAACGGGGAAAGAGTGTGAAACCCAGCGGGACCGAGAGAGAGAGAGAGAGAGAGAGATAACCCGAAAATCCGGAGAAGTGGGAGGAAAGAGAATCCCCTGAGATATGTCAATGAAAGAAGTGAAAAGAAAAATTGACGATTTTACGATTCACTTCACCAAAACAATATACCATTAAACGACCCGATAAATGAATTCAAATGGCCATATTCTCATTTTTGTGTTCAAAGAAAAACCATACAATAAGCCCTACACTGTCACATAGCGGTTCGTGTTCTGTGTTTGCAGAACTGTCTTCGTAATTGCAATAGTAAATAACGAACCATGTAATTGTCTTGTATATGTAAAATAATATAATAAATGCGAATGTCAGTGTGTCACACTTTTTCAACTTTACTCCTGGAGGCCGTATCATATACCATTTTGGAATCAGGCCGACTCCATGAGCAAACATTTGTGGCCAAAACGTCAACATTCGGCAATGTGACTCGCAACTGAAGACTGTTATTTGTTCTGTTCTCTGCTGTTAGGATTTCTCTTCTACAGGAAAATTGTTACACCAAGGAATTACAAAGCACAACCCGCTCTTGTAAATCTAGTTTGTTTTGTTTTTTTTTTCATTTTGTGCTTTGAGTGGTAATTCGAATATCGACACATGACTTCATGGAACAATCATTAAAATAAAAATTATTTTTAATCTATTTATTGTTTGTTCTTTATTTAAAAATGTTAGGTAGAAATCGAACCCTGATTTGCTTTTCTATGTTTACTTATGGGAAATTATTCTGTCAATTTCAGTTGTCAGTATCGTAACTTTACAGAATAAAACGTTTTTATAATAATATTGTTTGCTTGTTTGTTTTTTTTCTTTATTTTTATAAATTAATCATACTTATTATAAAACCCAGGTTGTGTGTGTGTCTGTACGTTTATATATTGGATCGGATTTCCTACATTTTTTTCAACCGATTTCAACAAAACTTCACAGGACTACGTAAAATTACCTTGCGGTGGTTCTGACAGCGCCAAAAATGGAAAAAACACAATTGTTTTTGCACGAAATCAATTTGAAAACACGATTAATAGACATCGCTATCGCGAGAATGAAAGTGGGACAACTCATATCGAGTTATACTTATTATAAAAACCAGGTTGTGTGTGTGTGTGTGTGTGTGTGTCTTCGTTTATATATGGGATCGGATTTCCTACATTTTTCAACCGATTTCAACAAAACTTCACCTTTTTTTTTTTGGCAGGTAGTGTTTCTTATTGTCTTGCACACTTTTTTCTTTATTTTTACATTCAGAATGCTTTAAAAATTCCATTTACAAGACAATTGTTTATAATAAAATTCTATTCAATCGGTAGACTCATAACGATTGAAAACAATGTTTTTCTTTGAGTTTGGGTTCGACCAATTCGTAAAAAAAAAAAAAAACTAATTAAGACGTCCGTCAACCTTAAACAATAATCTTTGTCAATTTTATTTTTCAGTCTTTATGATGGTGGATACTTGATCTATCTCTTACTGTTACATCCCCGGGCAACGCCGGACTCTACTGTTAGTATTGAATAAAGTTCTAAGATTTCTTTTTTTTTTTTTAATAGTTATATAATTACAAGAATTACAAGGCGCAAGCTGCAACTTGTAAGACACTTTGCAACACCCTGAAGACTAAGAAAAGGTAAGGTTCCAATTTTTCCTTCTTTACAGCACTGGTGACATGTTTCGTAAGTTTTGTTTATTTTATTGTTGTGTGTAATCAGTGGTAATATCGCCACAATCTAGAACACCAGAAACTGACACACACACACACACAAAAGTGTCAAGTTGAGGTCATTTTAACAATGAAAATCGGGCACGAACATTTGCAATGATCTGATGTGTGTAGAAAATATTAATATAGCAGTTAAACTCCGGGCATATTTTGCAAATTTACTCCCCATGTGTGTTTTTGGGTTTTTTTTTTCTTTGTTCGATTTTTCTTCCGGTTTTTTTCCCTCTTTTTCTTTTTCAAACCTGGAAAACATCATTTATACACCCCGAAAGAAGGATTGCCTTTTTAGTCACATTGAACAAATAATCGGTCTATTCAAAAGTGAGGAAATGAAAATGGAGACGGCGTATAGCGAAGGCCTCTTGTATACTCTGAGATGTCCGTGAAGGCCTCAGAGAAAGAAAAGAAAAAAGGTTTTGTGCGCAGTACACGTTGTATTTATTATGTACTAATTATGCTCTTTAAATGAAACTGGTTTTATCGGACGCTATATAGTTACAATAAATAAATAAAATATATTCTTAGAACAATATTTAAGGGCTATCAAAAATGGTATTGGAATATTCTCAAATTATATGCATCCAGTTGTGTCATCCAAGGAAAATGCGCGTCCCGCTAATGCTCATTGGTATCCAGTCGACCGAATCAGCCTACCAATAGACTTAATGATATCTACTAGTGTTCATTTAGCACGCGAGGTTTTGTATCGTCATGTTGGAACGGCTCTGTGATCTTTACAACAGCTGGCAAATTGAAGCAACGTGCATGCTCAAACTTTGCTTGAAGCCCGGCAAATCTGCTAGAGAAACGCTCGAAATACGTTCTCAGGTTTTTGGCAACGATTCTTAAGTCGAACGCAGGTTTTGTACGGCACGCGCGTTCTATGGTCGGTCGAGCATTTGTTCAAGATGAGGGCCGTCAAGAGCGACCAAGCACCAGAAAATGTGGGGAAATTTCATGATCTCATCCATGAGTACCGTCGCTGAGCAATATAAATGAGTAAAATTACAGATTCTGGTGGAAACTTTCAAATAAGCGCGCGTATGTAAAACGCAGAGAAAGAAGACTTTTTGCAAACTGCCAATATGGAAGGCGATAAGGAAAAACTGAAAATTCATAAAGTTGTTTGAAGCGAAACACCACAAAAGAAATTTTAAAAATACTTATAAATGATCGTAAAATTTAAAATATCCTTTTTAGAATTTTTTTTTAATAACTCAAAGAGCAAATGGAATAAAAACATTTTTTATTTGATTGTTTAATGGCATATCAACACATTATGGGTCACTTAATGCCAAAATCTAAATATTTTGAACAAAATTTTATGGCTTCAGCTAAGTATATTTTGAACGCAGTTGTATGCCTTCAACTACAGATAAATGTATTGTTAGTCATCTTGCTATAAAATGTATTGATGGTAATTTTACTATAAATAGGTTGTGTGCTTAATTTTTTATATAAAGATGTATTGCTGTTTTTTTATACTTTCATAGTATATTGCTTAGAGTTTCAATATTTTTTTATACTTTCATAGTATATTGCTTAGAGTTTCAATATTCGCCCGTAGCTGGGACCCTAACAGGTTCTACCAGCCTGAGACACCGTGGGCCTTGGAACAACACCAATTAAGAGGTGGTTCCACGCTCCTCAAAACCTCCAATCTTCCGATCAGAGGCCTTGCTGCCGGATGTAGTTTATCGTCATACTCAGGACTGGGAATGACGAGAAAATAAAAACACACACATAAAAGAGAAAGAGAAAAGCCGTCAACACGTATGGGTGGGTGCGCCAATCTACTTAGTAACATCACACAATTTAACCTTGTGCCAAACTAAGCTAAGTAAAAATACAAGGAATGCATAGGTCCACAAACAACCCTAACCCAACAAAATATTTTCGAACATTTTAATCCATTACGAAAGATTTACAAATCCACAATGACGACTTTCGTTGTGCATAAATGTAAAATAAATAACTAAATAAATCAAGTTACAAGTTGAAAGGGAGTGGGCAGGGTCGGAGAGTGGGCAGGGGAAAAAAAGGGAAAAACATAAGTTTATTATATGTAAAGTAAACGTTGGTGTTTCTTTTCTTCATGACTGGCGAAATATAGTAGTAATGCGGACCCTTTAAGAGAAAAAAAGGGTGTCAAAATGATAGAAAACAGGGGGAAAGGGGAGTGAGAGAAGGAAAACGAGTGAGAAAAAGTTGGTGAGAAAAGGAAGAGAGAGAGAGCCAAATTGGTACGGAGAGAAAGAGAGAGAGAGAAGCTGATATGGAGGGAGAGAGAGAGAGAGAAGCTGATATATGTACAGAGAAAAACTGGTATGGAGAGAGAGAAGAAAGAGAGAGAGAAGAAAGAGAGAGAGAAGAAAGAGAGAGAGAAGAAAGAGAGAGAGAGAGAAAAGTTGGTAAGAAGATAGAGAGAGAAAAGTTGGTAAGAAGATAGAGAGAGAAAAGTTGGTAAGAAGATAGAGAGAGAAAAGTTGGTAAGAAGATAGAGAGAGAAAAGTTGGTAAGAAGATAGAGAGAGAGAGAGAGAGAGAGAAAAGTTGGTAAGAAGAGAGAGAGAGAGAAAAAAGTTGGTAAGAAGATAGAGAGAGAGAAAAAGTTGGCAAGAAGAAAGAGAGAGAGAGAGAGAGAGAGAGAAAAGTTGGTAAGAAGAGAGAGAGAGAGAGAGAAAAGTTGGCAAGAAGAAAGAGAGAGAGAGAGCAAAGTTGGCAAGAAGAAAGAGAGAGAGAGAGCAAAGTTGGCAAGGAGAGAGAGAGAGCAAAGTTGGCAAGGAGAGAGAGAGAGCAAAGTTGGCAAGGAGAGAGAGAGAGCAAAGTTGGGAGAGAGAGAGAGAGCAGTTGGCAAGGAGAGAGAGAGAGCAAAGTTGGCAAGGAGAGAGAGAGAGAGCAAAGTTGGCAAGGAGAGAGAGAGAGAGCAAAGTTGGCAAGGAGAGAGAGAGAGCAAAGTTGGCAAGGAGAGAGAGAGAGCAAAGTTGGCAAGGAGAGAGAGAGAGAGCAAAGTTGGCAAGGAGAGAGAGAGAGAGAGCAGTTGGCAAGGAGAGAGAGAGAGAGCAAAGTTGGCAAGGAGAGAGAGAGAGAGCAAAGTTGGCAAGGAGAGAGAGAGAGAGCAAAGTTGGCAAGGAGAGAGAGAGAGAGCAAAGTTGGCAAGGAGAGAGAGAGAGCAAAGTTGGCAAGGAGAGAGAGAGAGAGCAAAGTTGGCAAGGAGAGAGAGAGAGAGCAAAGTTGGCAAGGAGAGAGAGAGAGAGCAAAGTTGGCAAGGAGAGAGAGAGAGAGAGTAAAGTTGGCAAGGAGAGAGAGAGAGAGAGCAAAGTTGGCAAGGAGAGAGAGAGAGAGAGAAGTTGGCAAGGAGAGAGAGAGAGAGAGAGAGAGAGAGAGCAAAGTTGGCAAGGAGAGAGAGAGAGAGCAAAGTTGGCAAGGAGGAGAGAGAGAGAGCAAAGTTGGCAAGGAGGGAGAGAGAGAGCAAAGTTGGCAAGGAGGGAGAGAGAGCAAAGTTGGCAAGGAGGAGAGAGAGCAAAGTTGGCAAGGAGGGAGAGAGAGCAAAATTGGCAAGGAGGAGAGAGAGCAAAGTTGGCAAGGAGAGAGAGAGAGCAAAGTTGGCAAGGAGAGAGAGAGAGCAAAGCAAGCAAGGAGAGAGAGAGAGCAAAGTTGGCAAGGAGAGAGAGAGAGCAAAGTTGGCAGAGAGAGAGAGAGGAGAGAGAGCAAAAGTTGGCAAGAGAGAGAGAGAGAGAGAGAGAGAGCAAAGTTGGCAAGGAGAGAGAGAGAGAGAGAAAGGAAGAGAAGCAGAGAGAAGAGCAAAAGAATAAGATAGACAAAAAACAAATGCAGTAACAAATCTTTTTCTGTACGCTTGCAATAATCACATCCTACAAATTCAATGTGTTTTTTATAACTGACATAATCTCTACTGAAATATCTGAATCTCCAAGTTTTTCCTTGTCAATATCCGAACTGCACTAAAAGGTTCCTTGTCTGACTCACTTCCTAACATTTGTCGAAATAACCAAACATTTTCCAATACTAATTATAATTAGCAATGGAAACAGTTCTTGGTCAGGCTGAGGTTTTTCTGTACACGCTCGTACATTAAGAAAATCAATGTGTGCACGTAATTTAGTTTAACATCAAATCAACTGTCTTTAGGCCAAATTGTATTATCTTTGCACCCTTTTCGAGTTCCTTCAATGCAAATCTCTGCTAGTTTCATTGTGATCCTCTCTCCATGAAAACGTCCCTTTTTTCATACAAAAGACAAAACTACCAGACATCTTTCCCCAGAATTGATCAGCCGAAACAAAAAAAAAAAAAAAAAAAATGATTAGACAACCAAATGTTTTATTTTCTCCTTTATTTCTATATAAAATCTGCCAAGTCAAACAAAGATATTTCACTAAGTACACTAAACATAAAATTAATTTAATGCTCATGGTTGGAAGGTCAAACTACATTGCACATGTGTGAAACATGTGATAGTCATTGACCAATGGACAAGTATAAGCAATTCCTGAACATTTCAGTTTGTTTGCATCTTCCAATCGCTTTTACGCACCACTTGGAATTTTTTATATAATTAAACAAAATAGCTATAGAATTTTTTCTTATGCTAAACTGAAATTTATAAGGAAGAACAATAGATCTTGCTTGTAAAACCACATAAGCAACACAATAACTGAGCTTTGCTGTCCACGTCCCACTGCCAAATGTTTAGCCAGATAGAATGAAGTGTCCTGTTTTCAACCTTTGACCACTGCTAAATCTGATACTGATAACCCCAAGACACTGTCTTTATATTAACAAACTAGCAAGGTCAAAGAGTTAGGTAAAGAGTGAGGCAAAAGAACACCCCTCCCTAATTTGCTCAGTATTAAAAAAAAAAAAAAAAAAAGTCAAAGCACTATTACTACTATTATCATTACTAATATTATTATTTTTGTTGTTAATGATAACAACAACAACAACAATAATAATGTGCCTAAAATCATAAAGAAGGATTCTAAGATAGAAGGGTTTAAAAAAAAAAAAAAAAAAAAGTAAAAGCCATAGGAGCAAAAATTCTTCTTTGGCCAATGTACACTCAGAAGTAAAGATGCCAACATAAATAAAACCCAAAACCCATTAGTGACTGAAGAGTGAAAGACTAAAAGCAGAGACAGGAACATTTATAATGGCTGCACAGGTCTAAAGACTATTCATTTGGAATTAGCAGGCAAATATTGTTATATATATATATATATGAAAATTTCTCCGATTTAACCAGTAGAGAAAACAATATTTATGAATAAAAATGACAAGAAAACTTTGCTTTAAGAAAAGTCCACATTGGACAAAACGTGTCAGCAATTACCAGTTTTTCTGTTGTCATTTTTATTCATATATATATATATATATAACTGTGTGTGTGTGTGTATATATATATATATGTTTAACATGTTGAGACTATTGAGCACTTAGTGTCTGGCCTCCCAATATTGATACCGAAGGAATACAAAGATCAGCATAAGATTGGGTAATATATTAACTGGAAGGTATGTCAGTATTAAAATGCACCACATGCCAAAAAATGGTATGAGCATTACCCCGAGCCAGACATGGCAGGCCATGAAGTGACTATTCTTTAGGACTTCATAATTCATAAAGACAGATATATAAAAACTAATAGATCAGATACAATAATTAAAGTCTATACACAAAATAAATGCCTTCTCATAGGTATGACAATGGCATCAAAGAATGACAAAATAGATGAATCTAAGGTTCTTAAAATTGAAAAAAAAAAAAGTGTGGCATAGACTCTTATACTTATAATTGGAGCCTTGTGCAAGATCAAAAAGAAGTACAAACAAGAATATTAACAGAAATCTCTGGTAGCCCCTGTTGACAAGATTCAAAATGTTTCACCTTGTTAAACTGAGCATCTCCTAGGGAGAGTATTATCCATGTAAAGAAATATAAACACTATACGTGTTAAGTATCATTTAACATCAGAGTTCGTGCAAACAGAATGCATATTTGCCTAAGCCCAAATCTTGGGTAATCACCCAGGATGGTGTAGAAAAAAATAATAATGAAAAATTAGAAAGAAAAACACAGTAAATGCCTATGAGAATATAAGCAGGAAATTTTTCAAGTTTATAAAAAGAAAAAAAAAATGGAATCTTGAATAGGACATTTTTTTTTTTTTAATACATTTGTCTTTTTCTAAAGTGTTAATGGTTTTTATTTTTTAATCCAACATTTTTATTATTTCAACACTTTATTTTTAGTGGATACGATAACTATGTTTGAAATAGATGCTAATACACAGAGTTTAAAATAAAAAAAAAAATGTGTCCATTTCAAACATGGCTATCAACTAAAAAAGTTTGAAGCAATAAAAATATTTGTCATTGTAAATGTTATGCATGTTCTGTTCTTGTAATTTTTAATTACAAAATATTTTTCATAGAGTTCCAGTAATATGACTACTACAGTACATAATATTTGTCCCTCTCCAGTCGTAAAAGTCTATGATAATTTACATATATGCAATATTTTGGACATTAACAGTGTAAATATTATCACAAATCTCCTCAGCAGTTTTCTAAAAATTAAGAAAGATTTTTTTTAAATTTGTCAGTGTGGGAGGTAGTGTAAGGTTCAGATATGAAAACCTAATCATGACTGAACAAAATATGTTGTAATGTTTTTACAACATGGGTAAAGTAGCAGATGGTATAGTTTAAAAGATATCACATGTCATATTTAGGGTGCATCTTACAGGATGCAGAATATAGCAACTTAATTCAATAAAACCTGACTTTTTGACTAAGCAAACATTGTCAAAAGAATAAGTTTGATTTTCCCCCCATCAACAACTCCTTTTTCTCCCTCTCTCCTTCACAATCTTTTAATCTCTCTCTCCCTCTTTTAATCTCTCCCTCAATCTTTTAACCTCTGTCTTTCACAATTTCTGTCTCTCTCTGTGTGCTTGGGTAAAAGATGTGCATAAGTCTGTTTGCTATCTTAATTGATAAGGAGGTGAATAAAACAAATGACCAGCTGACATGTCCTCACATAGTCTGAAGAGCATATTGTTGAAAACACTGATTAAAATAATAAAATGTAGCTGGAAATGTAGAAATTCCTTCTATACTGATAACTGTGCTATCCATCATCTCTTGCATCTGCACTTCCATCAGTCTTTACTGTATCTTATACCATGTCTCTTCAGATCTTTGCTGAGATTCCAGGGTTTTTGTTTTATTATTATTATTATTATTATCTAATAATACAAGTATGGATTAATTACACATGTAAAAAAGTGAAGAAATAAGAAATATTTTCAACTGTACACGGTCTATCACTTCATGAAAATTTCAAATGTATCATTTTTTTTTTTTCACTTTTCCATCCAAACTTTCTTTCAACAATTGTCTCTTGACATCCTAACAACTGGCCTGCTGTTTCTGGCTTTTTTCATCTCAATTCTTTACTTCTATTTATATATAAGTATTGTATGTGTGTATATATATATATATATATATATGGTGGTGGACTCTCCCATAGTATTTGACATATGAGAGTCAAGCAGCTCAGTTCCTAGGAACCAACAGCCAGACACCAGCACATATGATTTAATTATAGTAGTGAAGGCTTTGTGCAAAACCAACCACACTCTTTGAAGGTCAGAATACAGAGACCTGGTGCACTACATGCCATAAGGTACCCAAACAAGCCTCCGCAGGTTTTCGAAATAGAGTTGTACTTCTCCTAGACCAGTTGCCACCCAAGGCTATAGAACCCAGTCTGTCCTGCTATTTACCCATAGCTGGAAGGAGAAGAATTTCTGAATTTTTGTAAAGCAACTCTGTTACTGTGTTAACTTAAACTTGAATTCCTTCACTTTTGAAACATGCATATCTCCTTCATAGTTATCATAAAATCGATGATTTGTTTCATAATGTCTTTTCATATTATATTCTTTTGGCATTGCAGTGCAATAGTTGCTAATAAAACAATTTATCTTTCCATCAACAGTGATACAAAAATACTGTAATTCCCACTTTTCTTGAAACATATGCCCTTCTTCAGATAATTTCTCTTTTTATGAGATGGAGTAGAATTCGACATTTTTAAGGCAAAATATTACAAAATTATGAACGTTTTCATTTTACATTTGTCCTTATTTAGTTGTCAAGGATGATCACATAATTAACCAGGAGTTAAAATTAGTCGCTGACATTTGAAAACCAAAAACCGTTGAGATAAAATAAACAATCTAATTATACCAATTGAAAAAAAATCTCACAGTTTTTAATAATTTGCATTACCAACATAGACAAAATTCGCAATATACAACAGCTATAGAAACCTTTGTGATGCAATGTAAAGGGCCGCCAGTTTGACACACCTGATTTAGATTATCAGTACTGCAATCACTTAATAAATATCTCCACTACCATTACTACTTTTTAACATTGTTTTTATTATTGCTATTATGATGATCAATCATCAATATTATCATCATCATCATTATGGTTACCACAACTATTGTCATAATTTAGATTTTCATTATCCCCCCCCACTTTTTTAATTATACTTTTGTTTCCATCATTATTAAAGCTAAATTTACCATTAACACATCAATAACTATTATTAATATATTAATAATAATTAATATCACAGTTATTATCATAATCAGTATAATCACAATCGTCAATAATACAAATAACATCATCACCATGCCAACAAACAGAACCCAAAAACCTAGACCAATAGGAGTGTATGTGCATGTCTATATGTATGTATGTGTGTGTGAGAAGAAGTGTAAGTTTGTCAGATGACTCAGGTGATAGATCTGAGAGGCGTCAAGAACACCCCTACCCAC